CACACTTGTACATACATGTACATTGTAAAAGTAAGATTTCCACGTGATCTGTTCAGGTCTAAAAAAAGACATTTCTGATCTGACGTGAATGCCCCCACAAACCTGCATCTATCCAGCCTTCCTTCGTTTTGTTTTTTGCCACCAGAGAACGATCGTAGGTTTGCAGAGAAAAGTAAAATTTAATAGAAAAATTAACTGTACTTCATGTCAAATAGTTATTTCTATGCCACATTGTGTGTGTATACCCATACATTTCGTAATGGTAATGTTTCAGCATTACAACTTTCATTAATTAACATAAAATGTAGTTGTTGGCTGGCAATTAGATAATTAATGTTTCATTATATAACGTCATATGGCATTACATTGTATATTATAAAATTAAAAAAAAGAAAGATATTTTTATCATACTTATAAGAAAGAAGTGGAATATTAATGTATGACAGGCTTCATCAATTTATTTAGTTTTTTTCTAAAAATAGCATTATTTGTTCAATGTAGACGTACATGTACGTGTACGCTGTACAGAATCATGGTGCCTTGAATTACAAAATATACGTGACTCAGAGTTAAAAATGAGCGCAATTTCTCCTCGCAGTTATGTATTAAACAAGTTTCATTAGGTTTGTCAACCTTACATGCTGCGGTTAAAAAATTTGATGCGTTATTCTTTAGTTTAAATTCTGACAAAAAGCCAGGTGGGTGTGGTGTTTTCATTATTTACCAAATTATTATGTATAGAAAGTGCTACATGACACGCGTGTTAATAATATCACAGACCACGCAGAAGCATTTATTGCTGTATACTGTGTAAACACACAGTTCTGTTTTTGTATGATTGCCAGTGTTCGTTTATTCACCTCGCCCCCGATGAGAGCTGGCTTTGTGAGAACAAAACATGTTCTATACGTTAAAAAAGCTAGGCATTTTTGTTCATACATCGTATGACTTTTTTGACAAGTGTTGGAAGCGTTGCCATGGTAACATGTGCGTGTGCGTTGTACTGCCCTTATTTTTTTTGCCAATTCATAATTAAGTGGCCGAGTTAGCTATAAATTGATGTAACTTATGTTCTCATTTAGTAAACAACCGGCAAATATGCTCATTGCATACTGTTTCCATTTCAACATATTTAATTTTTCGTAGTCCAATTTTTCCGGTTTTAAATTTTAAAATCTGTCATTACATTGCATAGTATTTTCACCTGTGCTGCCCTGCACATATAGCTACTTAATTCACACTGATTTATAATTAATGAGAACTCTCTTGTTCTCTTACAGTGTGTATGATGGAAACTAGGGAATTGATGACAGGGTACGAAATTTCGTGTTCAGCATTATTTTTATATTCACCCAGTATACAATGTAGCAAGAATTAAAAAAAAAAAAATATTTAATTTTAATAATACTTTTTTTCTGCCTCATATGAACCGTTGAAAATAGATATATGTCGAAATAAGTATTTTCACAGTATGGGATCCGGCAACCAGCTGTTCCACAGTGAAGTTGAAAACCAAATGAATGTCCATTGTGTATTGTTTTTTTTTATGAAATACGCAGCTGAGGTGTGAAAATACTAATTATCATATTTTAAATATCCTTTTAAAATCAATTTTTGCATGAAGTTCTTTTTATTGATTGATTGTGACATATGTTTTTTATACAATACACATATACAATAATTTTCTAAAAATTTTTAATTTTTGTCAACATTTTTTCAAGAAAAAAAAGCGGACTACATGTATAAATGAAACTATGGTGCCTGAAGTTGACTGGCACTCAGCGGGTTAGGCTTGCATATACTGTATTTGCTATATTACAAGAACATCTTCAATTGAAGTGCATATAAGCCACAAATTTCATTTATTTTATGACCAATATTTTTACAATATAATGCTTAGTAAATACAGTATTGTTACCATGACAACCACTCAACCACTGAGGTGTACATTGCTGCAATATTTCACAATTTCCCTCCACACACAAAATTCAACCTATTTTCAGTATACAAATAGAGAGTTGGTAGAATCTGCATGTGGCAACACTGGTTAGATTCTAATAGAGTTGGTAGAATCTGCATGTGGCAACACTGGTTAGATTCTAATAGAGTTGGTAGAATCTGCATGTGGCAACACTGGTTAGATTCTAATAGAGTTGGTAGAATCTGCATGTGGCAACACTGGTTAAATTCTTAAATTTACAGTTTTCAGGAAAATTTTATATTGTCACACAACTTTACTCAAATAAAATAAAAGGGTTTTCATTAAAAATGCCTTTATATTTTTTTTTTGACCTACAAAATGTAATATTTGTAATTTGAGCTGGTCACAATTAAATAAGTTTGACCTTAGAGAATTAAACGTTATTTTATGAACAGTATGCTAATTGTTTTTTGGTCCCCCCAAAAAAGTGAATCTTTACAAATATTGCTGAGATGGTAGTCATGTAAGAGACGATGTCAAAAGATCGATGTCGGATAAGAAACTTAATTCCTTTAGTTTTTTTCAAACCCCACCCCCCACTGAAACTTAATTAATAAATATTGATCATGACGTCAGACTACATTCACCATTAAATACAAATTGATAATCAGACAGTAGTATGGCATAGCAGTTGGTTGTTGGGTGGGTGTAAAATGACTTTACAAATGCACCTCATTTGACGCACATGTTTGCACACGGACCAAACCATTTTCTCGTCTTGGATGTGTTTTTTTCATTTTCTGTTATTTCTGTCCATGATTGGATAGAAAAAGAACGAACTACAAATACTCCAAGATTTTTTTGACTGCATTAAAAAATAAAATCGTTTTTGTAGGATGGAAACTTTTTGAGGTCAAAACCCCCCACCCCCAAACTAAAGCAAATAAGTTTTTTATCCGACATCGATCTTTTGACATCGTCCCTAAGGCAGGTTGTATATATACGCAGGTTGCTCATATATATGTTATGCTATGGGACTTCCTAAATGTGGTCACTATAGGCAGGTGGTCTTTATACACAGGTTGCTCATATGTTATGCTTTGAGACTTCCTAAATGTGGTCACTATAGGCAGGTGGTCTTTATACACAGGTTGCTCATATATATGTTATGCTATGGGACTTCCTAAATGTGGTCACTGTATGCAGGTGGTCTTTATACACAGGTTGTCCATATGTTATGCTATGGGACTTCCTAAATGTGGTCACTATAGACAGGTGGTCTTTATACACAGGTTGCTCATATGTTATGCTATGGGACTTCCTAAATGTGGTCACTATAGACAGGTGGTCTTTATATAGAGGTGGTCAATAACATAGGTGTAGGATTTTATTTTTTAATTAAAAAAATGTATCATAATTATTTGACAAATAATTATCAAAATGAACATTTTGCTTTCATTCAACTTTTGACCTGACACTTTACAGTAGGGATGGGCTTGACTCTTACTGAATTGTAACAGGCTCTGTGAATGGTTGAAAAGTCCAACATATGAACTAACAGGGCTCTATCCACCTATTATAACGCTTCTATTACAGTATAACCACCACAATGGTAGTCTCTCATGTCCTACAGGGCTGTCTTTTTTCACCATCTGTTATGTGTCTTCAGCAAGCATAACGACTTCAAAATGATGGGATTATTTTCTCTGGAAATGCCGTTTTTATCTCATCGTTTTGCCTGCTTAAGGTTATTATGCATAATTGACATTCGTGTTCATCATAGTTCCAATAAGCAAACTACTGGTTTCAGGTGTTTTCTTTTTTGTGTGTGTGTGTGTATAGTGCTTTTAAATTTTTGTATAAGTTTGGAAATGTAGTCAGGTGAAAAATATGTGTAATTTAATTGGTATCTTTGGTATTGGTTTTATTGTATCAACTGAGCTCAAGTAATTGTCAATTGCAAGAAGTCAGTGATGGTCATGCTTGTAGATAGTTACATCCAGTTACCCGAATACAAGATTAAGAAAAATATAAGCATGTTGATCTTCTGGTATCAAATTTTTTTTTCACTATAGCCCAATGTTATCGAGTCTTCTGAGGGTGTGTCTCACTGTTGTGTACTTTCAAAGGATTTACTTCTTGCATAGAAAAAAATGTTCACATATCAGTGTAATTATTTATGGGTGTATAAGCAGTGTTGCAGACCTTCATTAGTAAACTAGCAATCGCTGGAAGCATAGTTTTTTTTATTGCATTATGGTCTTGGCATGACATTGATGCACAAGGTGTGCGTATGATACAACTGCAGTCTTGCATCTTACATGGATGTTTACAAGAAGGATTGTTGCCACTTGTGATACTTCTACTGAATAAACAATTTGTAGATAAGATCTAGTAGCATAGTGAATTACTTATGTTGAATAATTTATTTTGTTGAAATCAGTTTTTTCAAACATGTTCAATATGTAGTATTAACCCCAACCAAGATATTTCTGTTATGATCCATATGTATTCCTACAGGCCAATTTAGCCATGACAAATTGCTTGTTACATCATATAATTTGCATAACAAATCATTCTTTGTTTTATTTTCATATTTAAACATGTATGAGTGACGCTAAAAATAATCTATGCATGCATAATCCAACTTGGAGATTTACTTTTAATAAATCGCAGTGAAGCGGCTGCTCTGTTAAGTCATCATTGTGATGCCACATTAAAAGCGCATTCCCAATAGATGTGCATATAAACCTATAATCGTATTTGTTGAATACTGTACCATTAAAATATGACTTGTTTTGACATTAGAAACACTTTGACGCACAAGTGCAATATATAGCTGTAGATGTATGTTTTACAAACTAAAATGCACGATAATTTTTAGTACCTCCGAAGAGATACTCCACCAACCTTTTAGCAGGAAATGTTGTAGACATTTTGTGATAGAAACAGATTTTACTAAACTGTTACTAGATAAATATACTGTATAATGGTGAACCTTCTGCTAAGTAAGTTCACTGTCAAGTTATTTACAGCTACGTGGACGTTTACTGAATAATATTATCATTTTCTCACGCAGGAAGGCGAAGAAAAGAGAGAAACCACCAGTTGAAGAAAAAAAATTGTACTTAGAACCAAAGTATGCAAATATCAAATTGGACAATCTAGATTTTTGTGAGACTGTTAAATTACCTGATGGAATTTGCATAAATGAATGGTTAGCAACATTTGGTAAGTTACTATTAGTTTTGTTAGACAATGTTGTCATTTGGTAAGTTACTACCTGAATTGTTAGACAATGTTACCATTTAGTTAGTAAGTTACTACCTGTATTGTTAGACAATGTTGCCATTTGGTAAGTTACTACCTGAATTGTTAGACAATGTTACCATTTAGTAAGTTACTACCTGTATTGTTAGACAATGTTGCCATTTGGTAAGTTACTACCTGAATTGTTAGACAATGTTGCCATTTGGTAAGTTACTACCTGAATTGTTAGACAATGTTGCCATTTGGTAAGTTACTACCTAAATTGTTAGACAATGTTGCCATTTGGTAAGTTACTACCTAAATTGTTAGACAATGTTGCCATTTGGTAAGTTACTACCTGAATTGTTAGACAATGTTACCATTTGGTAAGTTACTACCTGAATTGTTAGACAATGTTAACATTTGGTAAGTTACTACCTGTATTGTTAGACAATGTTGCCATTTGGTAAGTTACTACCTGAATTGTTAGACAATGTTGCCACTTGGTAAGTTACTACCAGTATTGTTAGACAATGTTGCTATTTGGCAAGTTACTACCAGTATTGTTAGACAATGTTCCCATTTGGTAAGTTACTACCTGTATTGTTAGACAATGTTCCCATTTGGTAAGTTACTACCAGTATTGTTAGACAATGTTGCTATTTGGCAAGTTACTACCAGTATTGTTAGACAATGTTCCCATTTGGTAAGTTACTACCTGTATTGTTAGACAATGTTCCCATTTGGTAAGTTACTACCAGTATTGTTAGACAATGTTGCTATTTGGCAAGTTACTACCTGAATTGTTAGACAATGTTACCATTTAGTAAGTTACTACCTGTATTGTTAGACAATGTTGCTATTTGGCAAGTTACTACCTGAATTGTTAGACAATGTTGCCATTTGGTAAGTTACTAGAATAGAATGTTCACTGTGTCATTAACAGTTAACTTTTGTATATCAGCCCTAAAAATTAAATTAACCATGATACCGGTACTGCTTTTGGCCAAATCAAAGACACCTTTCAAACCTGATTGGCTCAAATATATCTAAAAAAATTCAAAATAATTTAATTTTATCTGGATTCCACTCATCCCAAGAACTATGGCCAGATTTTTCAGCTAGTATGAATGAAATGTGTGATTAGTTAGTTACCATTGATTGTAGCAATAATACAAATGTACTATAAATATTTTGTTGTACTGTTAATGCCAATCTATGTGCAACAACCACGCATGTACTTGTTCTGACCAATAGAATTTTGGAATGCTAATCTCCATATTTGCCGGTATCTATGGAAACAAAATGGGCGATATTGTCTGACATGTAATTTTTTTTCAAGAACTCAAAAATACAATCCGAGACAATCAATCGATATTTATTTAAAGTAATCCTATTTCATCCGTAACAAATGGAACTTCGCAATAGATTTCAATCATAGGTTACACACTGATTGCATGGCCATTAAAGCCATTTGAATACGTAATATTGAACATAGAAATCACTTGCGATGAGGAACGGTTTCTTGATGGATTTCTGTGAGATATCTCAGTCAGGATCACAAAAGTTCAAATATTTGAACCTTTGTAATTGGTAACTAACTATACATACTAGTATTGGTTACATTGTGAATGCCAAAAACAACCTTTATTTTCTACTTTAAAATTGAGTGATGTGTTACAATTAGAAGAACTCTTTTATTCAGAATTAGACATTCATTACATTTTTGTTTCATTTCCGTTACAGCTATAGCGTTTTTCAACAACATTAATCTGCAGTACGGCTGCATATCCGAATTCTGTACGCAGACTCTATGCTCCACTATGTCGGCGCCAAACTCAACGTAAGTGAATTGTTACTTTTCAATTATATTATGAAATTATGTTTGAAGTGCATATTTTACTGATTTTATCTTCACACACACATAACATGATTGATGATGTTATTGAAGTCACCATTTAATCTGCAATTAAATTGCTTTATGAACTGGTGTACCTGACTTTCACAAATTTTGATTGGTCCACTAGTTTGGCAGCCATATTGGATTTCAATTAACTAGAAGTTGCTATTTGACCTCTTTCTGATAATCAGGGCAGTCTGAATTTGTACTACAACTCATGTGCAATAGATTTAAGTAGTAAAAACTTTAGTGGTCATGTGACTTTTTCCTTTTAGATGACAAAAAATACTTGAAAATCTTAACAATAAAGACATTGATCTGGTTTTTAGCCGTTATTTGTGGGTGTAAAGCACATCAAAGTTTGAAAATTGTTTTTGGGTTGGTCACATGGTTGTTTTTGTTTTTTTTCTAAACAGGAAGTACTCTATAAAAATGTTGCAGACATTCATCCAATTATTTTTTAAATTTTCCATGTTACATCTCTATATTGAACCCTTTTAAACAGCAAATAAATAATTTGGATCAGTCACATAATTTCATCACCACCAATTTTTTGGTAAAAATTACCCAAATTTAGGCAACTTATTGCTAAGAAGTGTAGCATGTATTGCCAAAGCATCTTACAAGAAAATAAGCCATTTTTGATTTCCGGCAAAAATGGCCACAATTTGAGGCATTTGTTTCTCATGAGTGTTTTAACCAACCAACTTGATATTTTGCATATAACATATATGGCCAAAGCAATAATATAATAATAAATAAATTTTGTCTGTCACATCGTTTTTTTGCCACCTAGGATTTTTGAAAAATGCAAAAAAATTGGCCAATCTGAAAGCAGGGGCTGATAGGATTAGGTCATTTGTATCTTTGTGTCCACTTGTTTGACTGTTCATTCATTTAGTGTCATATCTGTGAAATTCTTTCATTCTTTCAGTCCAAAAGATTGTTAATTTTTTTTTCTCATATTTGACGTTACTTTTATACAGATTTGTTTATATTATTACACTGTCACGGTCGTCACACCCAGTCATGTACGATGTGGGTTCCATGTAACATGTCTACAATTTGTGTGAAGTACATCATTGTTGTGCTGTGTGTCAGCTGTAAGAAGGAAAGCTTTAAAGTGATGTCTTTATTCAAATTCATAGCGTCAGCGAATAATGGGCACCTTGCTTTGTGCACGACTGTTTAATTCTGGTTTTGCTTTCATGCAGGACTTACACATGGGTCGATGAAAAGGGCAAGAAAAGTAAATGTACGGCCGCACAGTACGTGGATTATGTTATGACATCACTGCAGAAATACATCAGTGATGAAAATGTCTTCCCAACAAAATACGGTGAGTTTGTTGAACAATAATTGATGTCCTCGGCCAAAAACTGATCATGTCTGTTATTATTTGCTTCAGAAAATGAATGTTCTTTTCTGCATACATACTCCTTATTTCATTCCTTGCCTTTATCGACTTTGATGAAATGAGCCATCAGATTCTGCAGTGGTACATTAATCACAATAGTGTATCATAGACTATAGAAAACAGTTGTCTATAAGCACATGTACATTTACGATAGAACACTGAAATCATGTTTTCCTTAACATCACTTGTTTCCACAGACCTTTGCAAGTTGATGTGTACAGGAAGTGATCTCTATTATCTGTTTTGTATGCATTTCATATTGTCCTTTATTTAACATTGAAATCCTAGATCCCCCCTCCCTGTCCATCAGGGGAGAACCAGTTTTGAGTGGTGTGTTGTGTCAGTCAAAATGGACGTAGTTGGAGGATCCAGTAAATTGCATTATACATGTACAACTGCAAGTATGTGTCAGTGTGCTCTTCTCTGTCAAGAGTTGTTAACCTCTTTAAGCCCATCTTGAAAGCTTGTAACATGATATCGGATCTTACGAATCAAAACCTCAATTTTAAATAATAAGTTAGATAGAGTTTAGGACAATGTCCCTCCTCTCCCAGCGGTGCAGCCAGATGATGGTCCCTGCATCAACTGCAGCCTTCTTATGTACATTGGATTTTAATCAGATGTATTTAGTGTGCCCAAACTGATCTATTTTATAATCTAAGCCGTTTTCTTTTCTTGACTCATGTGTCATGTACCTAGCCTACAAAATTAGGGAAGACTAAAGAATCTGGTGTGAGGACGCCCTCTTTAGGTGAACTCAATAGATTGCACCAAGGAGACTGTACACCCTATAGCATGAATTTGAATTTAATGAATCAAAAATAGATTAACATTGGATTCTCTGGATAGAAAGCTCTCAAAAACGAAATCAGCAAATATAAAGATTGCATACGCCATAACACTATCGTAAGTATTATTGCTAAGCAGTTTAAGTATTTTTAAATGTTTTTCTGCTTTTTTTTCAGATGTTGTCTTCCCTGCAGACTTTGAAAGCATCATACAGAGGATATTCCGTATGCTGTTCCATGTCATGGCACACATATACCATGCTCATTTTGAACACATGGTTCTTCTAGACAATGAAGCTGATCTCCACTGTTTGTTTACGCATTTTATTTACTTTTCACGAGAATTCAATTTACTGGACAGCAAAGAGACTGTGATACTCGATGACCTCATAGAGCTTTTAGGACTCAACTCTCAGAGCAAATCGAAAGAGGAATCTGTTACTGCAAATGCAACGACAGCGAGGTAAAGGTTACCAGCAGGACATTATCAAGAATGACTATGCTTCTGCATCTATAATAATGGTTGTGCTGTGCCGCATGTATGACCTCTAGATATGGACGAATACAAACAATGCAATTGTAACAACACCTACCGCATAAATTTCAATGTAATGAATCTCAGTCTACAAATACAAAACTCATTTCAACGGTTAAAGAACCTTGCGCATCTTGAATGCAACTTTAAAACTCTTGTTGTTCTTCTGTGCAGAATTCCTAACTCCGTCTGCAAGGGCTGTGAACTTTGTCCATATGTGAACATTTTGTTTGAACTTGAAAACTGCCATGAAAATGTGATTTTGACAAAATGATGCCTGGTGTAAGTGTTCTGGAATTGGACATCTTGATTCCTGTGATGCTAATGGCTGCCTATGTGAATTGTATATTTCATTGACCTGTGATCTTTGATTTAGTACACTCATAATTGTTTAGGTAGATTTCTCTTGTCTGCAACCTAATTAATTTTCATTTGGTCACATGGTGAGAAATGTTTGTTGAAATTATTACCCGTTTTAAAAATGTTCAACATAATCGTACAAGTACAGGTGGTAGTTTTGTGTCTATAAAAATGAAATAGTCAGATATGATATAAGTAGATTTATGTATGATTGGGGAAAATTTAGAGATTTTTGAGGAATCCGTTGATAGTTGATGATGAAAATAAGGAAAAGTTCTAGTTTCGCATCAGTTTTAAACGATACATCATTTTTTGTTGCTCTAAACAATGCAAGTCTTGTTGTAGATTTCAAATTCAATCATGTTGTTAATTGTTAATCAAGTCTTGCGAAAAGAGCGCCCTCAACCGTGTGCATTCTTGGGTGTTATCCTGTTTACAATTGGACAGTTACATGTACTAATTGTGAGATGCATGATCCTTTTGAAAGACTGATTGAATCAGTCATGTTTTAAACCTAAAATTTTACCCTTTTTTTTAATCACTTGGCAATTTGATTTTAAAACATATTCAAACTTAGTTTTTTTTTGTTTGTTTTTTGAATTTGTAGTGTATTACGAATCAGCAGTGTAATTGTTACGGTAAAATCATGATTAGAAGTATTGTACTACTGACAAACTGCCCCTAATTTTAATCACTAATTTGTTATAAAAAAAGTTATATACATGACAGCCTACTCTTGAAATAGTTACAGTAATGAGGGTTTGTAAACATGTATCCGCCAATTCTCTGTTTATCTTCAATCAAATTTCAATCACTTTGATACAGGTACTTAAGGTCGGCATGCCATGCGATTATTTTTACCGTAATTAAGATAAAATTCTTTTTGTTTTTTCTTCAGTTTTGTATCCGCATTTCTCACAGATTTGGTTTATAAGTGTATTAAGTTTTTTCTTGTTTTTTTTTTTTTGTTTGCTTCATAAATTTTTGTGCTGTGTTTTCAAATATTCTATTTTTCCAAGTTTACCAATGAAGTTGCCTTGCTTTATTTTCTTCCAAAAGCTTCACAATTGTTATATACTTTGTTTTGTAGCTACAACATTTGTTTTGAATCTGCATGCTGGCTTGATATCGGAGGCTTTAATTTTGAGAGACAAATTTTCTAGAATTTTTTGAGTTCAAATTGTTTTAGAAGTAGCATTTCACTGGTATCCTCAAAAATAATTTTTGCAAAATTGTTGTCCTTATTTTGAATGCCTTAATTTGCAACTATTTCTAGCTTGTGCAAGTATTGATACTCCATCTTGTCTCTGCGCACGGCACTATGCACTGCTCATAATGGACAGCGCCCTCTGCCTATTTGGATTGTTTACATAATCGTTTTATAACTTCATGCCAAGACAGTTTAATTTGTTGTTGTTTTATTTCCCCGCGAAATTGCTGCCAAATGAACCACACTCCATTGGTGCTGAAGAGTCCTGTACTTAAAGATGGGATAGATAAATAGGTTTATTTGTAATTAGACAATATGATGCATTTTTTAAGGTAGTGATGATATAGATTCAATTATCTCCATGGCAACACATTAAGACACAGTGTAGTTTTAAACTTACAGATTTGAAACGCATTTGAAATTCTTGTGTATTTTCGGATAAAACATTAAAAGTTTTTAGATAGACTAACATGCTTCAAGAAGCATGGATAACGACCTTTGACCTAATTAGGGAAATAAAGATGCAAAGTTACTTAAATGATATTTAATCTCCAGTTTTAAAAAAAAAAGTGTGTTAAGATTTTGTGTATAAAGTTTACGAGGTGTTTATAGCAGTTTGTTTATTTATTGGGATTTAGTTTTAGCGGTTTACAGATGTTTTATCATTCACCGAAACGAATGCAATTTAGGTGTGTATATTTCATTACAAAAGTACATATTGTGCACTACGAATAGTTCATGCTACTGCGGTGAGTATTCTGTGTCACATTCTCTTGTTACCAAAGTAACAGATCAGTTTACGTTTTCGAAAATGTGATCTAAACTGATATATATGAATGATAATGATGATGATTTGGTGTTTGGGAGTTCTAATTCGCAGGCGAGTGTAGCTAGTGATTCAGTTTGTATCGTAGTGCAAGTTTTTTCAGTGTGGATGATTAGTGATTGCCTCGTACATTACACACGGATAAAGTGTTGGAAAATAGATTCACCCACGCGAGACAGAAATTTGATAAAACTTTCCTCCAAAAGTATGCATATAACAGTTAATACCTGTGTTTTAAAGCTACATCGAAAGAATACAGCAACAACCGTATTGGCTTCTACTTTGGATTGAATTTGATGTTAATTTTTAACTCGCTCTCTGAAAAGAGGTGATGTGGTGTGCTTTGATTATATGTCGGGTGCAATACCTTTATTTAGAAAGTTCAGTTTGGTGCATGGCTTCTTAGATATGTTTGTTGGTCTTTTTAAGTTCGGTACTTACACTTTGATCTTGTCTCTCAACTGTGTGAGTGAATCTGTTTTCCTAAATAAATGCAACACTTGACATTGGTACATGTACGTTGGATTTTTTGCACACAATGATATAACTAGAAAATCTTGCTACACTGCATGTTTAGCTTTAATGGGGTTTCCGATATATTTACTGGGGAGTGGGAGAGAAAGTTAACAGCACTAGAAGGTATTGGTTTGTTTACCTTTGACCTTTGATGGCAAATAAGGTAAAATTAGGTACAGGTGTAACTATTACAATGTGAAAAATAAAAGAAACAACTACATCTCACTTTTGTTTTGAGTTGTTTTTGACTCCCATGTGTGAAGCACACAATGGGAGCCTTAGCAGTCAGTGTGTCTGTCTGTATGTGTGTGTGTACTTGCATTATTGATGTTGTAAGGGCAAAATACAGATATATACCAACTTCTGAGGATGTTTTTCATAGTCCTTGGCAAACGTAATTTACATTAATAGTTAATTTAAGCTTCTTGTTTCTTGGAAGGCTAATTAATTTTAGATATATCTCAAATACTCTCAGTGTATAAGATTTTTTTCTAAGCTTTTTAGCTCCGCTGTCGACAAAGTCAACACAGCGGAGCTGTTCATATTACTGATTGTCCATCGTGGTGTAGGCGGCGGCGGCAGCGTCAACTTTACAATTTCAACTTCTTAGAAACCGCAGGTCAGAATGTGTTCAAATCTGATATACAAGTACCTTGGATGGTTCTTTTTCAGATTTGTTCTTTTCATGTCAAAATCTCAAATTTTCTATTTTTGGTGAATATTTTTGTCATTTTTGGTAAAAAGTGATATTTTCGACTTCTTGTAAAAAAACGTAAGTCTGATTACTTTGATATAACATATATAGGTACTATATGTGGACCTCTCTCAGATTTGTTCATTTCGTGATGGTATCTTTAATTCTCTGAGTTTGGTGAATATTTTTGTAATTTTTGGTGAAAAGCGATATTTTCAACTTCTTGTTGAAAAGCTCAAGTCCGATTGCTTTGATATCACATGTATAGGTACTACATGTGGACCTCAGATTTGTTCATTTCGTGATGATTTCTTTAATTCTCTAATTTTGATGACTATTTTTGTCATTTTCGGTAAAAAAGTGAACCTCTCACACATTTGTTCATTTTTGACTCCTGTGTGCTGTGATTTGATCAGTTTTGGGTAAAAATCTGTGCAATATTAATTACCTATTTTGCATGATGATTAATCAATTTTTGGCTTTTCCACTGATATCTCAATTACAAATCATCACATTTCAATAAAATTTGGTACAGAGATGTCATCGGACACTGCACAGACCTGATAGTTTTTAGGGTAATATCAGTACATATTAATTACCTAATTTGCATAATTAATTATTTTTCAGCTTTTGATATTTCAAGTAGTAATCATCACATTTTAATAAAACTTGGTACATAGATGCCATAGGACACTGCACAAACCTAATAGTTTTTAGGGTAATATCAGTACATATTAATTACCTAATTTGCATAATTAATTATTTTTCAGCTTTTGTTATTTTTTTGAATTAATTTTTAATGTGTCTTCAATACTCTCAGCACACAGGAGTTCTTTCTAAGCTTTCTTTGATCTAATGATATCTTTAATTCTCTATTTTTGGTGAATATTTTTGTCATTTTTGGTAAAAAGTGATATTTTTGACTTCTTGTTAAAAACCGCAAGTCCAATTGCTTTGATATTACATATAAAGGTACTACATGTGGACCACTCTCAGATTTGTTCATTTCATGATGATATCTTCAATTCTTTAATTTTGATGTATATTTTTGTCATTTTTGGTAAAAAGTGATATTTTTGACTTCTTGTTGAAAACCGCAAGTCCGATTGCTTTTATATTACATATATAGGTACTACATGTGGACCTCTTTCAGATTTGTTAATTTCGTGGTGATATGTTCAATTATCTAATTTTGATGATCATTTTTGGTGAAAAGTGATATTTTTGAATTCTTGTTTAAACAGTCCCATTGCTTTGATACTATACATATTGTTCATTTTCTAATGAAATCTTCTGTTCTTTAATTGAAATGTGCATTGCTAACAGCGGAGCTATCTCAGCCGACTGGCTGCTTGTTTTGATTGATTTTGTTATTTTAGCATGAAATTGATAGACATTGCTAATTGCTGGAAACATGCACTACTGAAAAGCTAAATTGCTTCAAATTCACTCTCATTTGCATTGATGATTGTATCACCAGTGAATCGTATGTATGGTAACTGTTACATGGAACATTAAAGCAAGCCCTGGAATACAAATTAATCATCAATGGTATGGTATGAGTGAATACGATTTCACTTTCTT